GAAACTCCAGAAACTCCATCTCAAAAACAACCACCACCACAACAACAACAAAGCAATTAGCCAGGCGTGGTGGCACATGCCTGTAGTTCTAGCTACTTGGGAGGCTGAGGTGGGAGGATCACTTGAACCGCAGAGCTGGAGGCTGCTATGAACTGTGATAGTGCCACTGCACTCCAGCACTCCAGCCTGGGGAACAGAGCCAGCCCATGTCTCAAAAAAAGAGAAAAAGATAAATGTCAGGTCTCTGAGCCCAAGCCAAGCCATCGCATCCCCTGTGACTTGCACGTATACAACCAGATGGCCTGAAGTAACTGAATAATCACAAAAGAAGTGAAAATGCCCTGCCCCGCCTTAACTGATGACATTCCACCACAAAAGAAGTGAAAATGGCTGGTCCTTGCCTTAAGCGATGACATTATCTTGTGCCTGGCTCATCCTGGCTCAAAAAGCTCCCCCACTGAGCACCTTATGACTCCCACTCCTGCCCACCAGAGAACAACCCCCCTTTGACTGTAATTTTCCTTTACCTACCCAAATCCTATAAAACGGCCCCACCCTTATCTCCCTTCGCTGACTCTCTTTTTAAAAAGCTTTATTGCTCACACAAAGCCTGTTTGGTGGTCTCTTCACAGGGACGCGCATGACATTAGGTTCTACAACAGTGATGTTATCTATTGGAGCAAATGAGGAAGTCACAAATCCAGACGCCTCTGGTTCCTGGGCAGCAAAGCATTACAGGCCCAGTGTAGTGGCTCACGCCTGTAATCCCAACATTTTGGGAGGCCAAGGTGGGAGGATCCTTCGAACCCAGGAGTTCCAGACCAGCCTGAGCAACACGGCGAAATCCCCATCTCTATAAAAAATACAAAAACTTAGCTGGGCGTGGTGGCACGCGCCTGTGGTCCCAGATACTTAGGAGGCTGAGGCAGGAGGATCACCTGAGCTCAGGCGATGGAGGTTGCAAGTGAGCCAAGTTTATACCACTGCACTCCAGCCTAAGCAACAGAGTGAGACGCTGTCTGAAAAAAATCAAAAAAAAAAAAAAGAAAAGAAAAAGAAAGGAACTACACTCCTGGGTACGGTGGCTCACGCCTGTAATCCCAGTACTTTGGGAGGCAGAGACGGGCAGGTCACGACGTCCGGAGTTCAAGACCAGCCTGGCCAACATAATGAAACCCCGTTACTACTAAAAATACAAAAATTAGCCGGGCACGGTGGCATGCGCCTGTAGTCCCAGCTGCTCGGGAGGCTAAGGCAGGAGAATTGCTTGAACCCGGGAGGTGGAGATTGTGGTGAACCAAGATAGTGCCACTGTGCTCCAGCCTGGGTGACAGAGCGAGACTTTGTCTCAAAAGGAAAAAAAAGAAAGAAAGAAAGAAAGAAATTACACCTACATTTATTCAGGCCTGTCCCATAATATTATTCTTGTGGCCTTTCATTAGTCTTTGAAAGGCAGCTTTTGGTCCCTGAGCAAGCAGGGTGTTAGTGTCAGGAAGGGACTATTAACATCCTTGATTTCAAGTTGAATTACAAACGAAATTCCTCCATAGTTAGCTTGGCCTACGCCCAGGAATGAGCAAGAACCGCTAGAGATTCAGAAGCAAGGTGGAGTCTACTCTGTCAGATTTCTCCGACTGTCACCATTTTTCAAAGGCAGTTTCAAGACACCTGTGAAAGGAAAATAAATCTCGGGAGCCCCAAATCACTAAGCCAAGGGAAGAGTCAAGCTGGGAACCATGTTAGGAAAACTGCCTCCCATTCTACTCCTAAATAAAATAGGTACAAAGATAAGAAAATATGTATCTCCTTCACAATTTGCTCATAAGGAAATTCCTGTGGACAACCGACAGACAACTCAGTCATCCCTCTGAGGTTCCCCTGAGACAAATGCACATCTGATGGCTTCCTCTGCCCTACTGTTTATGTAAAAATGCAGATTCACTGAACCAGACTCAATTGTGTATTCAGTGGAAGGCTGATCAAGGACTCAAAAGAATGCAACCGTTTGTCTTTTTTGTTTTGTTTTGTTTTGAGATGGAGTCTCACTCTGTTGTCCAGGCTGGAGTGCAGTGGTGCCATCTCGGCTCACCGCAACCTCCACCTCCCGGGTTTAAGCGATTCTCCTGCCTTGGCCTCCCAAGTAGCTGGGACTACAGGCACCCGACACCACACCTGGCTAATTTTTTATTTTTAGTAGAGATGGGGTTTCACTATGTTGGCCAGGCTGGTCTCAAACTCCTGACCTCAGGTGATCCGCCTACCTCGTCCTGACTTCCGCTTGATCCGCCCCCGCCGTCGGCCTCGCAAAGTTGCCCTGGGATGTACAGGCCTTTGAAGCCACCGCGCCCGGCCCTGGTTTTTTGTATTTTAATGTAAATTGTTGGCAAGCAATTTAGCAGTGGCCCCAGTTCTTTTTTCCTTTACAACCCATTTGTGGGTTGGCGCGTGGTGGCCTCATTGCCTAATAATGCCCAGCACTTTGGGTGGAGGCCAAGGCACAGGCTGGATCTTTTGAGGGTCATTTGAGGTGCAGGATTTTTTTTTTTTTTTTTTTTTTTTTTTTTTGAGACGAGTGCTCCCCGTGGTGTCACCCAGACTTGTAGTGCAGTGGCGCTGATCTCGGCTCCTGCAAGCTCCGCTCCCAGGCTTCACGCATTCTCCTGCCTCCAGGCCTTCGCCCTCCGAGTAGCTGGGACTACAGGCGCCCGCCACAACACGCCGGCCTAGCTTTTTTGTATTTTATTTCATGTAGAGACGGGGTTTCACCATGTTAGCCAGGATGGTCTCGATCCTCCTGACCCTCGTGATCCACCGCCTCGGCCTCCCAAAGTGCTGGGATTAGAGTCAGCGGACTTTGAGACCAGCCTGGCAACATGGCGAAACCCTATCTCCTACAAAAAATAATAATCAGATGGGCGTAATGGTGTGCACAT